AGGAGCCAGAACCGCGAGGTTCTGATTTTCACAAAAAAATAAAAAAAAATAAAAAAAGGACCTTGCCACACCACTCTTGAAATGGGGAAATTTTCAAGAGTTGTCAGACGTTCTCAGGAGTTGGGTTTTCAAAAGCTTTCAGCCCCTCGCCACACAGCACTCTCGAAAGGGCGATGGACCGATGGTGTTGGACAGAGGATGGAAAACGACAGTCATACAGCTTTGTTTTTTTTTAATGGCGTCAGGATAACGGCCTGACAACTCTTGAAAACCGAAAGTCCCTCAAGTGTTCGGCCAAGGACCCTTGAAAACGCACGAGTTGCAGGCTGGAGTTTCCAATCTTTCAAGAGCTGCTCTTGAAAGGGTTTCAAGAGCCACAGTGCAAACTCTTGACTGCCCCAAGTGCCAAGAGGCTGTGTGGCTATGCAGCAACTCTTCAAAACGAGTTTTCAAGAGTGGTGTGGCTAAACCCTTACTGTAGTGGAGCGACGCCAAAAACCAAGGCCTGAAAGCAAGCACCACACGTGCATCCCTATTGAGGCCAGTAGGAATCAGACATTTATTTCAGGCCTAGAAAGTCTTTGCAGGTAGACAAAAAGTTGGGAAAGTTATAGATCCCCCTGGCAACAAAACAGTTGTACTCTTTTTCCCCAGACAATGGGGCTACCACACAGCCTTTCGAACCTATGCATTTTTCTGAAAGTTGTCAGATGAAAATCAAAAGCCCGTCATTGGAAAGAACTCCCCCCTTCACCACACAGATCTTCGAAACATTCTTCCTTTCAAATTCCGTCATTGTACTGCCCTCGTGACAGGGGGCCACACCCCAACAAAAATGGCGGTCGTCAGGGTGGCGACCCTGACAGATGGTCATCTTGAGGGCCCATTTTCACAAGACCCGGGGCCTCGGCCCACATGCACCGTGTAGTGCCTGAAACACGGTGTGACAGCCGAGAGCGGGAAATGTACATCCGCAATATTCTGTGCCATGTGTCACGGTAGTCCCATCATTGTAAAAATCGTGCAGCAATTGAGGGTGCGGCCGATCTTCGCAGGAGGCCATATAGAGTGCTGCCTTTGATCTCCGCAGGCCAAAGAAAGGGTCGGCCCATGGAAAAACAAAAATCCCCACACTCGCCCCAGAGGCATTTCCTGAGCAGTGATTCGAACCCCAAGTAGGCGGGAATCAGACTAAGTCTCTAAAAAAAAAAAAACAAATAAAAACATGAGCTTTTCTGCAACGGCGGATTCGAACTCTCCCCTCTGTGATCCCTGCACTTTCGGCTTCCCTGCACTACTCGCCATCCCTGCACTTTCGGCTTCCCTGCACTACTCGCCACATGCAGAGAAGACAAGAAAGAAGGCAATCTATCTGTTCATGTTCCAGCGGAAGAGTCAGTATCGTTTTGCACATTCGGAGACTGAGAGATCCCACACTCACTACAGTTTCTGAGGTTCTTACTCCACACACCAGAGGCAGGGGAGAATCAATAGTGTTCTTCAGCCTCAGTATGGGGCGATCTTGTCTGCACTATGGAGACTGACAGATTCATGGATCTGCGGCCTGGACCCACGACCGCCCCCGTGCCCTATTTCGCACCGTTTTCATAACTTTTCAGTCCTTCAGACCAGACCCCGCGGTGTAGTTAGCCACCCTGCTTTTCAGAAGATGGTAACTACACGGCCCCCTCACAAACGCTGCCTTCCCTCCTCGCAGAAAACAATGGGAAAATGACAAGTATCAATGGAAGAGGTCTACCATTTCTAAAAGGCGGCCATTCGCCGTCAGATCTGTGGCCTCTAGACGGCTACGGCCTGTCACACCCTGCGCACAAACTGCGCACAAACTACACTACATGCCGCCTGTGGGTCGAGGCCCCCTATTAAGGCTTTTGAGATTCGGGCCGTGACAGGCGGGAGCTACGGGCCACTTCGAAATGCCTTTCGAATCCATTCGGACTGACACCTTTCTAAACATGACAACTGCGAGTTGGTTCTAAGTGCTGTGTGGCAAAGATGGAGTGTCCATTTTTCGTGTTTCGAAAGGCTGTGTGACGAACCCCAACGGCAAAAGGTTCGACAGGCCGCCGAATGCTGGTGACAGAAGTTATGGATTCCCCCCCGCGCCTCGAGCCTTCAGGGACTCCCATACCTCGGGGGACCAAACGAGTACAAACGTTTTTTTTTCCCTTTCTTTTTCTTTTTTTTTTGTTGCGTGTTATCCTTGCGCAGGGGCCATGCTGATCTCATCTGTACTCCGTATCGTTCCAATTTCAACGGATGTCCCGAAGGACTACAAACGTTTTTCGCGGGGCGGATCTCTTACTTCTGAAGTCTTGACAACCGGGGCTATGTCCCACTTACACGAATTAAGCGATATTGACCGTAGATCGCAAAGATCAACGGCCAGAATCTCTTAATCCGTGCAAGTGGGACCTTGCCCCGGAAGAACTTTACACGTTCTCTGAGAGGCCTACTCTACAAGGCAACAGTTGTTCGTCGGCCGCGCTTAGCCCCCTCCCACCTAATTGCTGCTCCTTTCAAACTGGCAGTGCTCTGTTCCCGGCCATCCAAATGGTGGCTGCTGCGCTCAAGCTTGCTCAGCCGACCTGCAACCAAGACAGATACTGGACCGGCTGCTGCTACTTCACTCCCACCGGCGGACAACGATGTCGCTCTATCCTAATAACTGGACCAAACACGGTCCGGTTCGCCCTTTTCCACGCCGCGTCGGGATCCGGGACCTCTTGTACAAAAGTTGCGACTGTCAAGCAGCTGCGTTACGCACCGTGCACGGAGATGTCGCCGACATTGAACCCTTGGTTGGGATGCAACACCCGCAGCGAAGTAAGCCTCGCGCTTTTCTTCGGCTTGGTACGTTGCATCCATCAGACTAATAATTTCTCTCACTTCCGTCGTCCCGCGAACATAACGGACCCGCAATATGACGGCATCCAACCGGGAAGATGGCTTGGGAACAAGCAGAATCAGGGAGCGTTATGTTAGGGGGGAGACGGTTACGTCAATCTCCTCAGCATTTTGCATAATATACCCACTCTGCCTGTTCGGTGAAAGGCCCTCTTTCCTAATGGAGCATGTGGAGTGTGATGGGCAGTGGCTGCATCGACATTTTTCATTCCAGAAGCTAAGCAAGAGGCCAAATCTGGAAAAACGAAGTAAGCGGTGTATAGGGTGAGATCTGTCCCATAACATCTTTTTAAAAGGAAGGGTAGGTGAGATTTGTACAACTCACAAATCATCATCAACGAACGGTGATTGTCAACAGGTGGTGCACTTACGTGGCAAGGCCATCAAGGTGACAAGAGCGGAGCTGGGATTGAGATCTCATATAACAGCCAGGTACTAAGAATCCGGGTTGTGGCGTCGTCTACAGTCTTCCGCTGTGGCCTCTACCGTTTTCCTGCAGCATCCTGATTACGCATATGTATACAAGAATAGGGCGTTGCGTTGCGTCCTCTACCGTCTTCCGCTGTGGCCTGTACTGTTCTCCTGCCGAATCCTGCGGCATCCTGATTACGCATATGCATACAAGAATAGGGCGTTGCGTTGCGTCCTCTACCGTCTTCCGCTGTCGCCTGTACTGTTTTCCTCCGGCATCCTGATTACGCATATGCATACAAGAATAGGGCGTTTTCGATAGGTTAGGGTACCGATGACGGTACGGTGCGGCGTTGCGTTCGGGGAAGGACGGCAGCCTCTTAGCCCTCCTGCGACTTTTCATGGGCGGGGGGAAATAAAAGAGGAAGGACGAAGTATAGGGCACAACAAAGCAGGTGTTGCATCAAAGAACATTCGATCGAGAGGAGACGCCGTGACCAGGCACAGATTGCTCTTCTTACGCACGCGACGACGGGCTCGAAAGAAGCGCGCACGGAAACAGTCCGCTGTAGAGCGAGAGCTGCTACCGTATTCACCCGAATAGAACGCGCGGTCATTATAGCTGTATTTGGCACACCATTCGGTCCAGATGTGGCGATAATCACAAGGCACAGATTGCTCTTCTTACGCACGCGACGACGGGCTCGAAAGAAGCGAGCACGGAAACAGTCCGCTGTAGAGCGAGAGCTGCTACCGTATTCACCCGAATAGAACGCCCGGTCATTATAGCTGTATTTGGCACAGCATTCGCTCCAGGTGCGGCGATAATCACAAGGCACAGATTGCTCTTCTTACGCACGCGACGACGGGCTCGAAAGAAGCGAGCACGGAAACAGTCCGCTGTAGAGCGACAGCTGCTACCGTATTCACCCGAATAGAACGCCCGGTCATTATAAATGGATTTGGCACAACATTCGGTCCACATGCGGCGAAAATGACCGGGCGTTCTATTCGGGTGAAGACTGTAGGCTGGCGCGTATTCAAACAAAAACTTTTGAGTAATGTCCTTGCGCAAGATTTTGACCAGATTCACTCTGGTGAACTCTGGTTGCATCACAATCCAAGTCACGAGGGAAAACGTTTCTACAGCAACAACACCATCTTAAGCAAATTAGGAAACGTTTTTACACAAAGAGACGCAAAACGAACAAAATCAAACCGCGCACGTGGCCGTGAGAGACAGCAAGCCGGCGAGAGAGCGAAGAGTGCGCGCGCGAGAGTGAGAGGCAGAGAGAAGACGCCTGTGCGCGTGTGTGTGTGTGTGTGTGTGAGAGAGAGAGAGAGAGAGAGAGAGAGAGAGAGAGAGAGAGAGAAACTAAGAGGCAGAGAGAGGAAACCTCTGTGCGTATGTGTGTGTCTGAGAGAGAGAAAGAGACAAGACAGGGGAGCGACCCGGGGAGGGGGGGAGGGGAGCGGGAGGGGGGGAAAGAGGGTGGAGAACGTTGACGAGGACCGGGAGAGATAGTGACTGGTCCAGCGAGACACAGACTTTCAGACAAAGAGACATTATTCTCATCGGCAGCCAGACGGCCAACACACGCAACCAGCAGACGAGATCACAAACAGACAGACCGACAGACGAAGTCGATGCAAGCAGCCACCTCATAAAAACGAAGGCAGATATGCAGATAAACACTATCAAACCGGATGAAAACGAGGTCGATGCAAGCAGCCACCTCATAAAAACAATCTCGGACCTTAAATTTCAAAAAAGAGAACTAGCACCAATCCTTGCTACCCGCCGCCATAGGACGCCGATGAAGAGGAGAGCCCTCCCCATGTCAATCCGGGGGACATATCCAGTCGTTACCTCACTCCTGCCGGATATTACGACAAAAACGATTACACTATTCGTTCCTCGACTACACCTCTCTCTCTCTCTCTCTGTGTGTGCACACGCACACACACGCTCACAAAAATAAAAATAACAACCAAGAAGTCAGTTGGAAGACAATGAACTATCGGCACTGGCTCGAGATGTGAGGTGCTGACCGGATATATCTACCGTACGTCATGAATGAATCGTTATTATTTATTTAATTCACCCTTACTGCTCAGACCAGGGCAACGACCGAAATATAAGCTACTCGAATTTCAAACAGGCTTGCACCTACCATTGCAATCATACGTCTCACACAATTCGCCTGTGGTACGCTATACTTAACGAAAAAAACTATACTGTATAGACCACACTCTATGGCTTCCAGAGCGTGGTGGTGTCGAAGACCAGGGAGGTGACGACGTACGGGTCCATGTTGGACGCCGGGCGACGGTCCTCCATGTACCCCTTCTTCTTCGCCTCCGTTTCTCTTCCGATCCTCACGGACGTTCCTCTGCTCGCAACGGCCCACGAGAACCGGTCCATGCTGGCCGTCTCGTGGCGGCCCGTGAGCCGCCTCTCGTTGCCCTCGCCGTACGCCTTGATGTGTTCCTTGTGCCTCAGCTCCAGATTCTTCACGCCCTCCATGATCACGTCCCATCCGCCGTCCTCCCTCATCGCCTTGGTGCTGAAGTTGCAGTGACACCCGGCACCGTTCCAGTCGCCTTCCACGGGCTTCGGGTCCAAGGACAAAATCACCCCCTCCAACTCAGTAATCCGCTCCAGCAAGTATCGCGCCACCCACAGCTCGTCGCCCGCCGCGATGCCGACAGCTGGCCCCACCTGGAACTCCCATTGCCCGGGCATCACCTCGCCGTTGGTCCCGCTGATCGTGATACCGGCGTACACGCAGGCCTTGTAGTGGGCGTCCACGATGCGCCTCCCCCACGCCTTGTCCGCACCCACGCCGCAGTAGTACGGGCCCTGCGGGCCGGGGTAGCCATTAACGGGCCAGCCCAGCGGCCACTTGTGCTCCTTCTCCAGCAAAGTGTACTCCTGCTCCAGGCCGAACCACGGCTCCGCATCGAGCGCCTGCTGGAACAGCTTGTTGGCAGCGTAGCGGGTGTTGGTGGGAATGGGCTCGCCCTGAGGAGTGTAGCAGTCGCACATGACAAGGATGTTGTCGCCGCCTCGGAAGGGATCCCTGAAGATGGCCTGCGGATAGAGAATCACCTCACTGTCCTCGCCGGGAGCCTGGCCCGTGCTGGAGCCATCGTAGTTCCACTTGGGAAGCTCAGACACCGACTTGACGGGACCAGGCAGAGTGCGGGGCTTGCTCCTGAGGTCAAGACCGCTCCCTCCAACCCAGATGTACTCTGCAATAATGCGCTTCTCATCTGCAGGCATCTCCAGCCTCAGGAGGTCGTCTACGGTCGCCGCCATCGTCCACCGCCTACTCGTTCACCGTCCTCACCTAGTTCACCCTGGATGTGAAACTGCTCTCGCCGATCACACCGCCCTCGCGCTGCTGCTGGAGCGCCGGCGATGGCGGCTTGATAGGCGGGAGGGAGATGGGTCCCAAAAACCCGCTGATTCGGAGCAACAGTAAGAGTTTCCACGGCTGCGCTGGACTGGTGAGCGCGGGCCTCGCGATGGACTATATGCACCACCTCGCAACCGTTGTCGCGATGATTCCGAGGTACAGTGCCGGGGAGGCGGGAGAGGCGGGAGAGGCGGGCAGCTTTTTTTCCCTCTTTTTTTTTTTCCCTCTTTTTCCCCTTTTTTTACCGACAGAGAGGCGCGCTTGTTCCGCGTCAGCGGGAAGCAGTGGGAAAAAGCAGCTTTCTTTTCGTGCAACTAACACGTGGTCCCGTGGCTCACGTGGGGTTAGTGGCGGGATACCCACCCAAACCTACCGTCACCGCGAGGCCGCCGAGAGGAAAGCGAAAGCGGGAAACGCGCAAAAGGACGAAAAATATAAATATATATATTTGTTTCCCCTATCGCATTGTATCTTTTCACGTTCTAGGTGAACATTCGTCACGCTCAGCACTTTCACATTCGGCACGTTCGGTGATTGATGCGGCGGAATGCAGGGCCTCGCTCCACCGCTCTCGAAACTCTTTTTGCTTTTTTTTTGGCTCTGGGCCTCACTGAACTACTCTCCAAAAATGAAAATGAACCTTCCGTTAGAACATGAGGAGATACAACGCCATATTTTTTGTCTTTTGTGCATGTGGAGAGTGGTGCAGCGAGGCTCTCTCTTCCACGTGGTGAATGCTCGCCAAGGGACTTTTCACACTGGACGCACTCACCACGCGGGTGAGCGCACCACCAAAACAACCTTGTGGCGAGTGGTGGAGCAAAGCCCGTGGCCGTGCCCAAGCGCCTCGCCCCACTACTCAGCAATTGGACGAAATCATAGTGAATCTTCCCTTAGAACATGAAGAGATACGGCGCAATAATTTGTGTCATTTGTGCGTGTGGTGAGTAGTGGGGCGAGGCCCCAATTGTGGTGGTTACTCCCATGAAAGACAGCAGACGGGTGTTGCGACGGCAGCCAGCTGCACAAAAGTCGTTCGTCTTCTTTAGCATCTTTAGCATTATTCCACCCTGTGGGGATGTTAGGCTTGTATGATGGGCCTCGCCTCACCGCTCGCCGAATGCATAAAAGACTTTTTTTTTTTTTTTTTGAAGCTATATTCTTCTCTCAATTTCACCTCACACTACGTACCCCTACCACTACTCCTAATTGTAGGCATACGGGGAACCCCGTAGCAGCCAGAACCTTGTTCACGAGCCCCGTAGCAGCGAGAACCTTGTTCACGAGAGAACATGCGGGGGCTGCTCCCGACCTGCAGGTGGGCGATACCGGCTAGGGGACAGCAGGTAGCATCAGGGACCAAGCCAACAGAACCCATCCTTGTGCCTCCCCTCAGGTAAACCTCCCCTAGGAACATCAGCAGACTCTGCTCAATGCCCATTGGGGGATCCAGTGGTCTATGTCTAGGTGGCGGGCTCCAAGCATGCCCAGGAAGGTACATGAGCCCAATGGGGATTGAACTCACGACCTCCTGAATGCCACTTGCAAGCCTTACGAACTGAGTTAGGCTGCTGGATAGACTTAATTTTTCCTTCCTTCTTCTCTTGTCTTTTTCTTCTGCAAAATTTGGACAAAATCTCAACAGGGATATGGGCCCTGGCTGCACCACTCACCAAATGTGCCAAATAAGAATGCATCTGCCTCAAGAACATGGAACCAGACGCAAAATTCCAGCTATTACATTTAACCATTGAGGACCTCGCCAAAAAGTATGACTGCATGTTCCCGCAATTAATGGCCAGATGCATCCATTACTATGGATAGTAACAGATGCATCTGATCACTTTCCAGGGAAGATGCACTCGTACTTTTCTCTTTTCGAGAGTGCTGCGTCGAGGCCCTGTGTGTGTCCCCAGTGGGGCTAGGCCCCACTCGGTACCGTCGGATCACTAAGGCCGACTTTCGTCCCTGCTCTGTAACAAACCACTTTCTGAAACCGCGCGACGTTCTGCGCGAAGCTGCTTGGGGGATACGACGGGTCGAAGAGGTGAGCTGTGGGAGGATGGGCCGGGCGGGCAAACTGCATGGATGCCCTCGTTTCTTTTTGTTTTGCTGGAAGTTGTCGGATCGGTGTCGGGAAAATCCCGTACCAACGGTTGGGTAGCCGCGCCTTGGCAAGCGCGAGAAATAACTGTGGCGTAGCTTTTTCTTTCTTGATCTGCTGTGAGCACTGGGAATTCTGGCGGGATCATCGCGCGGGAATATCGTTTTTGAATTTTCAACTGATGACGAGCCCCCACGGGCTCTCGAAATTGTTTTTTTTTTCCTGTTCGGAATTTTCTTTTGCTAATAGGACTTAGACTAGGAATTTAGGTGCTCTGAATTCTGTTGCGAAACGCTTGCGCGCATCTTGCTGCGCAGGGAACTGGGCTCTGACTGGATCGCGCCCTTAATCTTGTGTAACTGTCGCTTTTGGCGGGCGCGATTGTAACTGTATCTTTCTTCTTTCTTGATTCCCTCGTATTCGCCTGCCTTCTTCTTCTTTGTCTTGCATGCCCGATGCTCCATTCTAATTGGCCTGAGTGCCTGCATGACCGGATCGATGCATGGAGCGAGGCTACGACCCCCACGCCGCGGCCTGACCATGCAGATGTAGGCACTTCCTCTCTTCTCCTCTTGTCCACCTGGGCCTAATCCTGTAGCTTTTTCGCGCAAGCATGCATGTTATAGATTTCGCAAGCGCGATTAGTTTGTCATCTAAGAATTTTGAGGTTAGCGCGATCAGTGAGGGTCGGCTAACGAGCAAGTTTGGAAGGTAAGTGCGGCGAGAGTTGGGCGATCCGACGAGTTGGTGTCGGGTATGCGGGGTTGACGTGCGGGGCCGCGACGGACTGTGGTGCACGGGCGAACCTGGCTTGCGTGCTTGACCCAAGCGGGGTGACAACTCTGCGTTGATACGGGGCGACGGACTGCCGGTATCGTGGGTGTAGAGCAAAGAGAGAGAGAGAGAAAGAGAGAGAGAGAGAGAGAGAGAGAGAGAGAGAGAGAGAGAGAGAGAGAGAGAGAGAGAGAGAGAGAGAGAGCAGTTGTGGGCCTGGGGTGAGGTTTGTTCTTTTGGTTGTCTGTATAATTTTGGCTCCTGCTATGGTCGATTTTTGTCGCGGCCTTTTTTGGACTTTTTCTTGTAAATCGCCTTAAGTTTTCCTTGTCGCTTCTGCTTCGTATGTATGCATGAATGAATGTGAATTCTTTCTGCGTTAGTGATTTTCTCAGATTTTCCACTCTTGCTTTGCGATGCCTGTTTAATTCGAATGTCGCCACTTATCCGTTTGTAAGGGCAGCACCCTCGGATCTGATGGGACGCACCCGATATGGACGCATGTCTCTACTCGACAGTCTCCGATCGTTGACAGATCACAAGGAATATTGAGAGGTGTTAATTGTCCTTTTCGTCACATGTATTTCACATAATGATCAAGTCTCACCCAACATAGCATGAGTAAGATATTTGTATGTATGTCGGACACGGTCGATACATTGAACCAATCCGCCGTTTTTCATGTGTGCACTCACGTACGGTCGCGACTTCGAGAAAGTCGAGTCGCTGCGTACGCGTTCGTCTGCATGAGTCAGCTTTAACCCTGCACAAGGATGCAGAGGATCGAGCTTGCTAAACAGGTATGGCTGCGGGATTGCCCTCTGGGGTGTCTGATCGTGAAGGCCTGAGGGACCCAGAATATCGCAAATACTGGGAGAATGAACAACTTAGACGGCGGGGAAACTTAAGAAATCTAGAATTCCCCTGTCTGACAGAGAACTGTCGATTGTGCGCAGGGGACTTTCACCATGCCATAACTAACGATCCTAGGCACCCCAACTACCCGGATACGTTTAACACGCAATATTTCATATCCCCCGGCTTCGTCCTTATTTCCACCAGTTTCTCTCTCTTTCACCTCCTCCTTCCCTATCACCAACTCACAGTGGTACCGTGAAATTCCATAGCTCGCTATTGGCCCAACCCACCGTGCGAGGATTGCCAGCAGTACCACACCCGCCGAACTTCGGGAGCTATCCGACAAACTCGAACTGAAGTTGGGCAGCGAGTGCACAACCTCAATTTACGGCCCACTCCGTCGGATTCCGAAGCCTGTTACGAGCGGCGCCGATAACTGGGAGAACCGCGCAACGAACCACGAAGGCGAAACAAGAGGCGATGGTGGTCTCCATCTTTGGGTTTCTAAGCTAACAAAAATTGAGTTCGTTGTTCGAGAAGGCAAGAGTGTTTAGATCGGTTGTGTTGTGATTGTAGAAGAGTATCTCGGGATCTTTGGTCTGGGCTGCACTACACATGCCATCTGCTTTATGTTGCACGACATCCGCGACTTTCCTACTGTGCCCAAACCACGGGAGATGGTCTGCCTTCTTTCTTATAAAAATTAAAGCGCCAAGAACGACCTGCATATACCCTCTTGCGCTTTTACCCCCGAAACTTGCCACAAGAGATCTCAGTTCCGACCTGGGACTCCGCCCCCACTTTCCTAAAATCCTTGGCACACCCCTTTTCGCACTTCCGGGCCCCCATCCCACTCCGATCAGGAAGTCGCGCTGGGTGTGAGGTGTTGCGTCACAACTCGACGTGTCAGTCTTGCAGTCAAGCTCCCTTTTGCCTTTACACTCAATGGCTGATTTCGTCCAGCCTCAGGGAACCTTTACACGCCTCTGTTACCCTTTGGGAGGCCTACGCCCCATAGAAACTGTCTACCAGAGACTTTTCCTTAGTCGGAAACGACATAAGGTTAGAATTTTAGCTTCTCAAGAGTGGTACCTCACTAATGGCTCCTGTCTTTTCGGAAAAAGACCTTTTAAGGTTTAGCCTTCCCCTTAAGCTCCGCAGGAAAAGCCCAAACCCAATCCCAGGGAACAATAAAGCTTCATAGGGTCTTTTTGTTGAGGTGTAGGTAGTCCGCATCTTCATAGACAGGTCTATTTCACCGAGTCTCTCTCTGAGACAGCGCCCAGATCGTTACACCTTTCGTGTGGGTCGGAACTTACCCGACTTTGACACAAGGACCGGGTGCACAGGGAGTTCCCATCAATGACC